GCAGCATTATTTGCAGAATCAAGACTACTTTTATGAGGGAGTGTATAGGGTGTTTAAATGTGCAGTATAGCCAACTACTGCCAAATGTGCAATATGGTAAGATTTTTTTTCATATATTCAAACTATTTGGGAAAAGGATACAATGTGGCCTTTTGACCACAAATGCAGATAGAATGCTTCAGAAATTTGAAATAAAGTTGACATTAAATGGACAGATTTGTTGATTAACTTTAATACTTAAAATAAACAGATCATGCTGTACATTTATTAGCTGTTAGTCATATTGTCGTTAATTCTGCCTGTATCACAGCAAATATAATCAGGTACCAAATGAGGATACTCAAGCACTGTATCTTGTGTATTTAATAACATATGGAAAGGTGAAAGGGGAAAAGAAGTTGGTGTGGGGGGAGCCCAGCTGCTATAAGCCATCCTATTCAAGTGACATATCACATGTATTTCTCATGAACTTGTCAAGGTGTTGGAAGGGCTTGAATTGAATCAGGGCTAAACCCCTTGTCTTCATCCATCAGCTGCTTCAGGTTGGCCTGATGAAAGTCATCACCTCTGCCAACCACCCCCCTTGCCTTAGGTCATACCCTGCTCTGGTTGCAGAGAGCTGGGTGATGACCCACCAGCAGTCATGCTCTGCTGTGGGGGGCCACTGCACCACGGGATGCTGCCATGAGTGCAGGGGTACAGTCCCAGCTGGGGAAGGTGCTGTCCCTGGTTCTGAACCACGGGGCTCAGCATAGCTGAGCCCCCCAAAAAGGTGCAGGAGCGCATGCGACTCCTGCCACCCGCAAACTGAGCACTTATTTTCATGGGGTGCAAGGCTGGTGTCCTCATGATTCACTGCAGTCTGGTGTACTGTACATGCTAGGACTGCTGTGAGAAGTCTTCGCCTCTGCTTATACATTGTTTACTGGACAATTTGTCCCTTGGAAATGGATGTGGCAATTCCTTTTGTCATGTGTGAAATTAAGAAAGAGCAATATCCAGAAAAGGAATAGGAGATATGCTGAAACATGTAAGCCACGTAGTTCAGAGCTCTGTGTCCTCCAACAACCTGATGATATAAACAAAACTTGAACTGAAATAGCCTGTTCCTTAGCGGATGCAAACAAGTTTCACTGAATTTGCTTTTTGTTTCTCACTCAGACTCTGATTAGTCAGGCTATGAGTCACAGCCTATTCACTCTAAGATAATAACCTTTCATCTACTATGAAACAATTTTGCATACCAAAGCATTTTCTGTAAGACATACTACTCACATACTTTATGTAGTATCTTTTTTAACAGTGGCTTGTTCAAATTTTGTGCTTGAATACGCAGAATTGTTTTTGTACCTGGAGTATGGATCACACTGCAGCGAATAGAATTTCAGAGACATTTATTCAGCCTGGAAAGCATTTTTACAACTTGGCCCCTTATTTCATTGTCTAGCTGACATGTGAGTTCTTTTAACAAAACCCACAAAAACAAAACAAGCAAACACCTATTCCACTCTTCAGAGGCCAAAAATATAGAAATTCTTTGTATCATCTTTATTTAATGTCTTAATTCTCCTTAGAGGAACCGTATGACAGGAGAGAAAAAGCACATTGAGTATTGTAATTTGTTTTGTATAAAATGGTTCCTTGGTCTTTGCTGTTTAGATTAGAAAATATTCATAGATTGACAGACCCTCCCCTACACACATATTAATGATGTCTCCAAACCCTTTTTACTTTCTCTTTGCCATTAGGCATTGTACATTTTGTTTGTATTATATCCTATTCAGGATGTAAGACATGGCCAGCTTTGTGTCCAGATTTGCCTCTTGAGTTACATGTGGACTATCCACATTAGGAAATCAAGCAGAAGGTTACAAAAAGAGGAAAGATGCCATAGGTTGGGACATAGATGCTTCTTCATTTATTATGTTTGCTGCTTCTAGTTTGAGCCACTCAGAATCAATGAAAAAATAGTTTCTATTTAATTTACTGCAAGAGCACCAGTAGAGTTCTGCCTGTGTACACTGCCATATAATGGCAAACATGTAAAAAGTCTTGTCGTAGGAATTGCCAGCTAAGCAGCCAAAAAAAAATGTTTTAACCATAATCTTTCTGGTTCCTTTCCCATCGGTAAGATTTTGCTGTCTCGTTTACTCTCTATTTACACAGGTATTATGAAAATAAATAACATATGAGGCATTTAGCTATTCAAGAGATGAATGCTTTAGAAAAGTTAATAAGCAGATTCTTAGAAGGGCTTAAATAATGTGCAGCAAATAAGGATCATACATCAAATGACAGCAGATAAAATATATATATCAAGAACAAAAGAATGTGACAATCAGTTATATATTCTCAATAGAACAGGGTTGGCTTGGAATGAAAACACTACCAACCTATTATAATGAAATTAAAGGCTAACAGAATTTGTAGACTCAAAGGAACCAAACTGATGGTCCATAAGTAACCCTAATTCTGGTATTTCTTGATTCTGATATGCTCAACTTCGCACATTGAGGAGTTCCTTTTTGTATTTTTTTTGTGTGTGTGTGTGTATGTGACATATATTTTCATAATATATTTTCATTTTCATAAACCCTCTCTTTCCATATGCTTGCACAAAGCAATTACTGTGTAAAACACATAAAATGCTTCCTTGTAAACAAAAGCTCCAAAACCTTGCAGACTAAGCAGACTGCCACAGTTAATAAGATTTCCACATGCCAGCTTAGTTGAATGAAGCCTGGTCTGTTTCATGAACACAGCTATCTTCTGCTCCTTTTCTCAACCATGAAGTCTAGAATTGTGCGAACTTTCCCCCAGAGTTTTACACTTCTAGTACCTCTCAAACAAGCAAATGCACAGTGCACTACAGCTACTTCCATGGACCCAGGACGGTTATCCATTTCACTCCATGTGCAGAAAATCCTTCAAGAGTTGAGGTCATATAGCTTTTATAAGGGCAGTCTTCCTACTGTCATGGTAACAAAGAACCACAGCCATTAAACTCCAGTTAATTCCATGTACTATGCATCCAGAGCTCTAAAAAATAACAAGAGTCAAGGACAAAGAGTGTCTGCTGATGGACACTGGTAGATGTCATCTGGAACATGTGGTAGATGTTGTAGACAGGCCTAGGCAATGAGTGACCAGAAAGTGAAAAGAAAACTAGAAAATTTCAATCCATGGTGATGAATTCTGAATAGTAGCACACAGCCTAGCAGTTCTGTATTTTGGGTGTTGCAAGGTTATCTTGATTTGAAACCCTCTTATGAAGAGGCTACAGACTAGCCCTCTGGCCCTCTGTTGCACTGGTATCATGTTTCCATCTTTTCTGCCCTGGGGTAAAAGTAGTCATTATACTTCTGATGGCTAATTAGCAACATCTTGCAACGTTATATGATGTGATTATTTTTACTGTAATCACCTACACTGCAGAAAATTTGAGACCTCAGTATGTGCTTTCATGCTGCTGAGCACTAGAGAAACAGGAAAAGAGACAGAGAGCCCTGCCCTGAAGAACTTATTGCCTAAAATAAGACTTTTCATTTTCTGTTTCTAAAACCAAACTCATTCATCAATACTGTCTCTAGCAGGAGACAGATGGGATGAAACAGCAAAGCAGTATACAAAAATATACTCAAAATGCACAGATTTTCTAAAGTCATGGCTGGAAAATCTGGTCTCTAGGATAGTTTCCAAACTAGAAAGGAGATTGCTACTCCCAGTATGGCATGTATCTCCTCTGTCATGAAGTTTCTGTCCCTACAGATGCTATAAGGGTTATTGGATGTCATACTAAGCATGCCATACTATGCCCATGGTTACATACTGATGGCCTTGCATTTTGGAAAGGATGATGCTATAGTGGAAGGCAGGAGGAATTCTGCCTTTGGTGCAAAGGATGTTTTGCTTTGTCAACCTCTTGAATATGTCTGTTGTTCAAGGCAATCAGTGTACATTTTGGAGAACAGCATTTATTATGTAGGTTTACAGCTCACCTTGCAATTCAGGCACAGATCTGCAGCTCGCTGGGCAGTGTGCAAAACCATGTTTTGAAAGTGCCATCTAGTGGCTCCATAGGTTGGTTTTGTTGTGGTTTTTTTTTTGTGCCAGAAAGTGAAGTTCATCTCCCCAAAATTCAGGATCAGACCAAAGGCCATGCAGGCTTCCGAGTCAAGGCAGTCAGCAGGGACACCTTAGCAGCTATTTGCAGCCTGCCAACAGTAGTGCAAATGCTATAATCTACCTGGCTAGAAGACATTGCTGGAACAGGGAAACATGCACAGGTGGCCCCAGGAATGGAGATGTGATCATGGCTGCTGCACCTGGACGTGAAAATGGAAGTGGGGGCAGAGGTATACAGAATAAAGGCACATAGAAATAACCAAGTCCTAGTTTTCTGTTGGTAGGCCCTTTGTTCTTTTCAGGAAGATAACAGCCCTTAAATCCCCAAGTTAAAATGATTTGTACTATAGATGTTTTTCTGAATCTTTATTCTTAAATACTTTAAAATATGACTGCAGACCACTAAGGATCTTCAGAGACAGGTGAAGATCACTGATGCGCTTTATTTTCTTAGAAATACAGTGACAAAACAACTTGCTCAAACTGGATGGGGCAGATTTTTAGCAAACCAGTGGCAGTTTCGTATGGACACAGCTCATGGCTTTGTGAGTAGAACACTGGAGAAAGAAAACTTTGTTTTCAGTCATATTTTATTGCAGCAAACCCAAAAGTTTTGTAGCTTTGTGTAAGAGCTCCAAACTGATGCAATTGTTTCCCAAGAGTTGCTGAATTCTATATGGGCTCTTAGTAGCTTTATTACTGTATAGTTTGGAGTTCTTAGTTTGGCATTAGTTCCTCATAGAAATCATCACTTTGATTACTGATCCTTTTCTGCAACTGACAAAGTCATTGTAAGCCAATATAAATCAATGTGTTATTTCATCTTTTTACAGTTTCAGAAGACCACAAATAATTCTCAGAAGTTATAATTTTAATTCACTTGCCACTAATTTAAGCCTCAAATTTTACTCTGGATCGTCTCTTGTGGCTGGAATAAATGGACCATTCACTCCTGGTTCCATTTATGCATATCCATCAGAATGAGTGAAGCTCTGCAGAAAGATACAAACCCTTGTCGAAGCAATTAGATAAGCAGTAATGTTATACTCATTTGTAAGTTAAAAGCAATGTATAACTCTTGAAACAGGTTCTGTATTACATTATATTTTATTCACTAGCAAGTGGGTTTTTCTGCAGTTCTACTTTCTTGTGGCACTGGTAGTTGAACATGTGATGAAATATATGATTCACAAAATTACCTTGTTTAGCTTCATTTATGCACTTCAATCTTGCCACTTCCATGTGGTTCATCCAAACGTTTAGTTAAACATATGTTGATTCATTTTTATTTTTTTTTTCTGGATATACATCCTTTTCTGAATTGGGGTCAGAGTACTAATGATTGCACTATACATAAAAATAGATGTTCATGTTGCTGCTATATCTGTTTTTAATAATTTAGGAGACACTCTGGCACCATGGTGTTGAGGCCTAGACATACTTCTTCATCTTCTAAGACCCAAATAAGTGATATAACATATGATAAAAATCCAAAGAGAAAGAACCCACAAAGAACCATCGGCACAGGAACCTTAAAGTCCCGCGGAAATAGTTCTGTTAATTTAGTTCAAGATTGCACATTCCTGATTTTTACAGTTGAAATTAGTTACATCTGGAACATTAAGAGGGAACACCATTTTTTTTTTGTTTTGATAGATATTTTGGTATTAAACCCAATGATGTCCCTTAAAATGAGGAATATGTGAATGATAAGGAGCTGTAAGGCTAGTAAGGAAGGCCATTTTTTCCCTAATTCTACCGATGAATCAAATCACGCCAAAATTTTGATGTATTCCTGTCTCTCCCACACAGATATTTTGGATATTCATTCTCTATTCAAAAGCATTATCAAATGAAAGAAGCTCTTTCCATAAAGCATTTTCAAAAAGCAAAGTTTTTTCCAGAAAGCTTTCAAAAAAGAAGTCTTCACCTCACCACAGAACATTTGCAAAAGCAAACTGCAGATGCTTCCTCAAGTTCTAGTCTTATGACCTTTAATTTAAAACGTGTTTTGTTTTAAAACATGGCCTATAAACATGCCTGGGGGGAGCTCAACACAGTCATTTAAGGAACAGAAACTTGAGACATGTGGTTGAAATATGGTGGGAAGAAAAATAGAAGGCATCACATTAATGACACAGAAATTTCAAATGCAATTTTCTAATTATTTCCTCTTTGAATGGGATTCTAGAGAGCCAGGGGACAATGGCAACAAGGTGCATGCCCAACAAGCTATTTGGCCTTTAAGTCTGTCATTTACTGTTTGTATATAGCTTTAAGTTTGTAAAAAAGTAAAGCACTCAACAAGGGTCAAACTGTTTATGTGGTGTTCTGACCTTCAGGATGACCAATGGAATAGTGCCTTTCCTGTGTGTATCTGTGTGTATCTACTGCTGATAAGCGATCAAGTAGTGAACTGATTATGTTGATGTATTTCACAAAGAAGGGAAAAAAAGTATAACCAGTACAAAGTCTTACATTGAGATACTGCAGTCTGAGTCCCTTTTAATTGTTGCACTAATTGTTAGCCTCAGGAGAGGGAGGACTCAAGGAATGATAAGGCAGGACACCAGAGTTGAATCTCTCATTGCTGAAGAACTCAGTTGTGTTTAGGGTTCTGCCACAGCCAGTCTGAAAGACAAGCTTTGCTGTTGGGAGTCTACTGATTACTACTGGCATACCCCATACTGAGAAATAAGAGAAGGAAATCAGTGTACTACAAAATAGTTTCATCTTTAGGTTTTGCATGTTTCATAGTGGCATAGCTTCAGTAGAGGAAGAGAAGTTCCAGATCAAGCTGATACTTAAAACTTGCTATCCAAAATGAGGCTCAGGCATTGCCTCTTCCTTTTCTATAGCCAAAGTGTGTTTGTGCCTTCTGGCTGGTCATCCACACACAGCCTTTACTGGAGCTAGCAGGGCTTCTCACTTTGCCATGATGTGGTGTAAGCACATGTTGCTTCAGGAGGTAGACAATGCCTTGGTGAGCTACCCTATAACAGAGTGACTGGCAGGGCCTGCCAGCAGATGTAATGTATCCTTGGGCACTGTCTGCCTGCTCTGCCTCCACAGTGTGGGAGGGGGACATCTGGGCAAAATTCATATCCTTTCCCAACTCATTTGCTCCCAAAGGGAAGGTGCCTGAGGAGTAGACCCCAGTTTCCTCCACGCTGAAGCTCTTATGTCTTCTAGCCATAGCAAGGGGGAACAAGGAAAATATACTTGCTTCAGGTCCCTGTGTAGCCATATTAGCCAGTCACAGTCCTGCTCTGAGGAGCCTTATCGGATGGACTTTTCCCCATGATGATGCAGAATGAGACGTTACCTCTAACATCAGCAGATATTGGGATGGTACCTGGAAGCAATATTTCAAATCTAGTCCAGACATGCTGCAGAGTGCTTATGGATTGAAGACTTTATAAGGAAGAGCATTCACTGAAAAAGCAAACAGGAAACCACATTTTAAAAATTATAGCTGAACATATGGAAGCTTTCACATGCATGATGTGAATTGTGGAGTGTGTGTGTTACTAACAGGCAGTGCTATCGCTGATTCTGTATTACAACAGGCCTGTATCATAACAGACTCCAAAGCACTGTTCTAGTCTAAACTGTAGTGAAGAGCCCAAGTCAGAGCCGGGTTACAAGAGCTGGGGAGCCGCTCTGTAGTGACGTACAGATATATGTGTTTTGACCTACAGTGTTCATTTGTTGGATGTGTTTCTTTTATGTAGTAAGAGGCTATGCAGAAAAAGCAAGCAGGAAAATTCACAAATGGCCTGAAGGCGGCCATCTACCAGCAAGTGCCTGAGATTTCATAAAGGAAAATGCTCAGAATATGAACTTTGAAAACTTTTGCTCCTTCACCAATTAAAAGCAAAGTTGGCTTTGCCTACACAAGCTGAGACTAGCATCATTCAAAAGTAAAGTGGGTGTTTTTGGACTAGAAAGGACTTTCATCAAGGTCTCTTAAGGAGAGGAATTTGGAAAAAATCAAGCTAGGAGTATCTGTAGAAGGCATAAATGTTTCCCTTGCAGAGTTATGCTATTATGTGATGTCTGCAGTTGTGGATACACTCATGCTGGGATGTCTGAGTCGTAGGTTATCTCCCTAAGTTATTATGCAGATGCGACAAAAGCGCTAGACCTGGAGCAGCAGTGGGATCCTGTGCACACTCCTCAGCCTCCTGATTGCCCAAAGGGATTGTGTAGCTGGGACACCGTCAGTGTGAAGGCACGTGGAGAGCAGCAGCGCAGGTTTAGCACGAGGTGCCCAGGGATGTTTCCGTAGGGCTACGCGCTAACTTTTGCCACAGCCAGTGTCCCTGCATTAGTGGCTAGGGCAGCTATGATGGCTGTGAGGGAACGCACAGAGCTGTCTGCTAGCTTTAACAGAAGTTTACAGAACCTCTCACCCAAACTGTCTAGACTGCTGTTGGGGATCGTTGCCAGCGCTGTGCATGTGTCTGAGCCTCTGTGCTGCTCAGGCAGTTACTGAGATGCTGTTACCAAAAGGTGCCTCTCCGCGCTCTTCCCTATTTCATAAGCTGTGCAAACAGATCATCAGTTAAGTGCCCAGCCACGCTGTTTAACCCAGGAGGTAACGACATTAAACCTTCTTCACCACCTTGCCCATGCTGAGGCACAACCGGAGGACTCTGTGTGTGTTTAAATACCTACTTTATGTCTGTTTCTGTAATCTTGGCTGCTCATTTGAACACAGCTGCCAGTCAAGCGCTCCAGCAAGAGCCCTAGCCCAGCCCCACGGGCCTCGGCCACGCAGGGGCGTGGAGGAGCGTGCCTAGCTCTGCCTGAGGCCCACCACGGGCCCGCTCCTGCCCGGCCGCGGCAGGGCGCCCCTCGGCGGCGCGGCGGGGCGCAGCAGCAGGTGCCCCCGCTCCTGGCTGTTGCAGCCGCCGTAGCGGAGGGTAGCCGGCAGAGGGCGCTGCTGCTACGGCGGCCTGCACCTACTCCACACGCGTGAACCGGCGTGCCTGTGTCTGAGCGCGTTTGTATGTCTTCTTTTCACGTTAAGATCGCGGGTTTTGCTCTGTTTAATAGGGCAAGAGGGAAAATTCCACCTTCTGTGCCCAGGGCTGGGAGTGGGGGTGAGGCTGGCCTCGAAAGGGAAAGACCTTATGGTACCTCCCACCTGGCAGCTGTCTCCAGAGCGACAGAATGAATAGGTCAGTTCTGGTTTTTTACTTTTTAATGATTTTTTTTTTTTTTTTAGCCAAAATGGCAAGGCCATTTGCTACCAAGTGTCACATTATTCAGTAATTATTGTGATTGCCGCCATCCCCTTGCCTCTGGACCCCATTATGATTATGATGGCCGATGTCCTGTGCGGAAGCTTTCGGTGGTATAGAGATGGCGCAAAGGTTTTGTGCTGGCCCGCGAGACACTGGGTTTTACACTGCACACCCTCTTCCCCCCCCCTCAGTTTTCCAGATTGCTGTTAATAATGTATAAGAATAAAGGATGCCCTTTGTGCAGTTTGGGGTTGCTGTAAGCTGTCACAAGTGTTTTATAGAGGCTGATTTTAATTTTGCCACCCAAGAGAGTAATAGTCCCAAGGAAATGAAGCATCTTTCTGCTATTGTTATATATTCGAAGGAAAAATCCTGGCACATAATTGGCTAAAAAATAGTAGTGTGATGAGTCAATAAATTTCTATTGTGTAGCTTTCTCTGGGTGAACAATACTATGTTCTGGGGTAGTGTTAAACAATTAGTTCACATATCATACGAATAAGCACATCCTAGATGGATACATCTGGGGGTAGTAGAAATTGTTCATCTCTGGCCAATCAGACAGCAGTTTTTATTTATTTCAGTTTAACAGAATACCTCTCTGGGCTCTGGGAGACCTTGCGAGCAATTGAAAATACAATAACTTTGGAAGGAAAGCCAGCAGTTTTTCCTCTCTCTCGATCCAGAATAATAATATATGACAAAATATCCTGTTCCCACAAGCATTAGCCTTTCTATCCCCAAGTGTGTAAACAGATAGCTGTGCGGGATCGATGGACCTCTTTGCAGAGTATGTCCTGCCATGTGTCTCCCTGCCCTCTTTCTCTAGTGGAAGAGTTTTCGGAGTTAACGTTTCTTCCAGTATGAAGCAGAAAGAGAGATGAGTCTGTCCACAGGTCCGTCAGAAATGAGTAATAAGGTCAGAACCTCAGTTTGTGTAGGTGCAGCTGCCTGTGTTGAGGAAAGTAGGTTGAAATTGAAACAGGCTGAAAATCAGCCATATTGTTTCTTTTGAATTTCAACCATTGACTCCCTGTATAGTGCTATTTAGTGGCAAAATGTTGTATTTTCAACTATATGTGGTGAAAAAAATTACAAGAAATGTACCTTCATCTTCAAATGGTATTCACCATTTTGCCTGATTTGTTTGGAGTAGTTCTGTTTAAATTCCTGAAATTATTTGTATTGTTTTGTGTTACAATAGTGAGTAGAAATCTGAACCATTTTGCTAGATGCTGTTCGAATGCACACTACAGGACAATCCCTTCCCAGAAGGTTTGCAAGCTAGTTCCTTACCCTGAGAATAGAATTTAATTCCTGGATTTAATTTCTTGGTACATTTGAGTTCTTGTATCTCAAGAAAACTCAAATTTTCTCTGTTCTCATTTAATCCAAATTACTGCCTAATTAGGAGTTAATGTTTTTGAAGGGGGACTACCAAGAGAGTTTTCATGCAACTTGAAGCATTCAGGATTCTGTGAGCTAAGTTTCTACAGATGGTGTGTGCCTACAGACACAACTAGATCTTTCTAAGACATTAAGGAAAAGTTTAATATGTTTCATTTTGTACAGGGGGATTAGTGGTCCCCAGCTGTGCCTGAGACCATCCATTCTTCACAGCTGGTCATTCTTGTTAATCCCCAGGAAATGGCCTAGGTTCTAATTTCTTGTTTCTTGAATACAAACTGAGCAAAATACATTCAAACATGATAGTGTAAAAATTGAAATCATACTTTGTGATGGATCTCAATTGTGAAGGAGTAACTTCTGTGGGGGTAAAAAAGTAATACCCTAGCTTCACCTCTGTTGTTTGTTTTGAAGGGTCATGGTAGATAAAATAGGAGAACATAAGCATCCCAGACACCCTTCTTAATGAACCCGAATGTATTTTTAGTCCGACTGTTGTTTTTTTTGTCTTTGAGAAAAGAGGTGTCAGCATGGAAAAACAGTAAGCTGTTATGGCAGTTGGGATTAACAGTCCAGAAGCCTGTTGATGTTAAAAACGCCATAAACCAGGAAAATGCTGCTTTACTTTACTGATGTTCAATATGTTTGAAGTGGATTGCTGTAGCTTTGTTTCCTGAAAAAGGTGAAGTTTCTTAGGACTGTCAGCCCTAACAGTAGATGGTCAGCAGATTGCTACGGTATGACCTCATTTAGGGTTTTGTGTGCTTTCTAACTGTGTAAGTCCACGCAAAAACCAGTTTGCCTCTTTGTTCCTCAAATGCTTATTCTCCAGTTGTAGGGACTGTGCCTGGCCATCTTTGTTGTGGCCTTCTTAGTTTGTGTGCCTGAGGCTTTAAAGAAGGTATTAAACTTCTCTTAGTTCCCTCCCAGCCAGTGGCTTTTTCCAGACTTCTGATTACTTGAGCACTCAAATTTATCATCCTGCTGGTCAAGAACAAATCACAGTTAGAGTGGAAAGTACATGCTTTGAAAAAGAACTTGTAGAAGCACAGGCTTTTCTCATAAGCCATATAAGAATATTAGAGACACAGCAGAGTGAGCAGCAGAGGAATATAATCTCTTAGCCTTACTGCTCCAGAGGCTTCCAAGGGCTTTGGTTACTCTGCTTGAGAAAAGTATGCAGAGTTGTTCTTGTTCCTGCTTCTCCAACTGCAGCAGTTCTTTCAAGCCCCAGGTCAGCTCTCTTCCTTAGGTTGCATTTGTGCTTAAAGGAGTTCATTTGTGAATACTCTTCTTTTTCTGGCTTTTTTTGCTGCAGAGTTTTTACTTTACCAGCTCCTCCTTAGGAATAGCTAGCTAGCCAGAGAGTTGTGTTCTAGCCATGTTGAATCCTTTTCTTTCACTGTGGCAGAGCCATTCTGCTGGCACTTGCCAATGATGTCTCAGTTTTACTTTGACAGCGTAAGCTGTCAAGGGAATGCTTTAACACACAGCAGTTCATGTAATTGTAAATGGCATTTCTCCAGGAACAAAAACAAAACCAAAAGAATTCTTCTATAAACAGTGTGAAACTAATTTTATTTATTTTATTTATGTATTTTATTTTCTAAAACAAGATTGAAATTTGGAATTTGCAGTATAAAAATCTCTGTCCTGATCTCCCCATCACTGCATATGCTAAAATGGTTGGACATTAGGAAATGAAAAGGACTGAGTTTACACCTCTACTGTCTCCTTTGCCTTCCTAAAACTTGGTCACATAAATGAGTAATGAGATGTGATTTGCGTCTACTTAAGGCAAAAAGTTCTTAGTTCTCTACAATTTTCAACAAATGGATGAAAATGGGTATGTGAAAAACCTCAGTTATGAAATACTTAACATTTTACTTAGAAGTCCACTCATGTATTTGAACTGAAATTGAGGCTAGGTGAAATGTTTAAAAATGCCATACTGATTTTCTTTGGTGCATCTTTCATTTGTCTTGAACTAGTAAGTCTTATTTTTGTCCTCTTAAAGATGTAGAGCAACATGTGAATCAGAAAATTCAATATCTATGCCTGATCCATTGTAAAACAGTGTGGCTTCCTTCTTTGTTTCCCACAAAAAGTCTAACCTGGTAATTATTTTAATTATAGTGATTGGAGTACTGTGTGACTTCTGAGAATGTTTATTTTCTTTGCATGGAGGCATGGCTTATATGGAATACCAGAAGAACCTAGTGACGTGTTTCATTCCATGCTAGCGCATCTGTGAGGGTGAAACATAGGATGCATCTCGATTAGCAAATTACTTTGGATCAGGGATGTATTTCTGAAGTCTAGCTCCTGAATGTCCTCTCTTACTATGTTTTCTTTTATGTTTTAAATACAGAAGCTAGGTTGCTTCCACATGACACTGAACTGGAAGATGCACTTCAGTGGCTGTGCTCTAACCACTGCCCAGTGTTCTGTACATGGGACCACACCAGAACTAAAGGAAAGTAAACCCACTTTGAAATGTCTGTAGTGCAGACATTGGATCCTTAGCAGTAATAATTCTGGGTTGCTCTACTCATTAGCATAGCCAGGGCATGTGAATGCAAAACCCGAAATAGGGAAAGAAAGTGTGCATGTTATTTAATGTGTCCATCTTATTCATACTATATTCATTTATGTTGAAAGTTTAGCAGCAGAGTAGTGGACAGGTGGTATATAAAACCCAGCTCTGGAAACTCCAACCCATTGCCCCACTTCAAAGAATATATCAAACAACTTTTGTGAATTGTCAAACAAAGATAGCAAAACAGGGAGAGACATTATTAATTGCTAATTTGAAGTTAGTGCCCTGCTGTTGTCTGGGTGGAGAACATTTGTATCTGTTGTTTATCATTAAAGTATTAAGAATGCTTGCTGCAGTTCCTGCAGTGTTAGTTCAAAAGCAGTTATTTACATTTGCAGGGAAAATCTTAGCAATGACACCTTGCATTTGGTTCAGCAGGACCAGCACTTATAATTAATTGCCCATATTATTATATTAACTTCTTTTTCTGCATCTATGCTCTCGTGCTCTGGTTTACCTTAG